TCTGCCCCCCCCCTAACATCTGCAAAATGATTAAGGCTGATACATTGTGTTACAGGATTTTATCTAGGTAACTTCCCTGAGCTGTCAAGTTGAAAGGGTACATTCAGGCATAATATTTGCAACATTTAACAACTTTAAAGATGTGCCCCCCCCTGTAATTTCCATAACAGTTGGAAGGACAAAAATATAACCTCCTATGACAACTCCTGCAACCCATGAGCTTTCAGACAAAGATCATGCATGGACAAATGTAAAGATCTTTGGAAAGTATTGATCGAAACCACAGTAACAAACAAATCAATGTATCTTCAAGGGAAAGAATAAGTAGATCCATTTGCATATATAGCTCTGTAGGCTTAATGAGATTCCCACAAAACATTAGGAAGGCCTTTCTGGTGGTGAGAGCAGTCAGACAGGGGAAGGGGCTTTTAGGGAGAGGTCGGGGGGAGGGCATCTGCCAGGGATGCTTTAGCTGTGAGTCCTGAATTGCTGGGGGTTGGACTGGATGACCTTTGGGTCCCTTCCACCTCTATGATTCCATGACCTTTAAGGGAAGTCACCTCCATCTTCCTCTCAGAGCAGATGCCCACAAGCCCTGGGCGGGAAGAGCCCGAGAGAGAGAGAGAGCCCGAGAGAGAGAGAGAGCCCGAGAGAGAGAGAGACCGAGACCGAGAGAGAGAGAGAGAGAGCCCGAGAGAGAGAGAGAGAGAGAGAGAGAGAGAGAGAGCCCGAGAGGGAGAGAGAGAGTCCGAGAGAGAGAGAGCCCGAGAGAGAGAGAGAGAGAGAGAGAGCCGAGAGACGAGAGAGAGAGCCCGAGAGAGAGAGAGAGCCCGAGAGGGAGAGAGAGCCCGAGAGAGAGAGAGAGCCCGAGAGAGAGAGAGAGAGAGAGCCCGAGAGGGAGAGAGAGAGTCCGAGAGAGAGAGAGCCCGAGAGAGAGAGAGAGCAGCCAAGCCCCCTTCACCGCCCGCCCCCCCCGCCAGCCCCCTCTCCCCTCCTCCCTAGGCGGCAGCTCCGCCCATGACCACAAACGGCGGCGGCAGCAGCAGCCGCGCGCGGCCCGGGCTCCCCTCGCCGGCCGCGGGAGCCAAGGCGCGCAATAATTTTATTAAATTATGTCAGCGGCGCCCGGCAGAGCAGCCCTCTCGGCCACGGCAGCCCGGCTCTCCCAGCCCCCAGGGGCCGCCCTCCTCCCTCGCGCACCCGCAGCGTTCCCGCCCGGGGAGGCGGCGCCCCCAGGAGAGGCGGCGGCGGCAGCAGCAGCCGCGCGCGGCCCGGGCTCCCCTCGCCGGCCGCGGGAGCCAAGGCGCGCGAAAATTTTTTTGATTATTGGGGGGGCAGAGACCCCCCAATAAAATTTTTGAGGGGGCTCGGGCCCCCTCAGGCCCCATGGAGTCGGCGCCTATGCCCAGGTGGCATCCTGGCGGGATCTCCCCATAGATCTGCATGATGGTGGGATCCTGAACCCCAGGATCAATCCTGATGGAATATCAGCCAGCAGCCAGGTTGACTGGGTCAGGATACATACCTGTGCCTATGCCAAAGCCTACTTACACCTGTAATCAATTATGCTGTGGCCATTTCAATCCCAAGTCGGTGTCTTCATTCTTTGCTGTTTTGTCTCTTCCTACGGCAGCCTCCAGCCTGCTGTGCTTGGGCCTGCAAATTCTCTCCTTCCCAATTAGCCAGGGCAAGTTGGTGCTGCTGCTCAGTGTAGGTGAGGCCCTGGGGCCAGGCCTTCTGTCCTGCTGCACCCTTCTCCATAGCGCCCAAGGATACAATTGTTTTATCACTCTTGCCCATTGCCCCCCTCCCAATTTGTCATTGGTCCCAGGTTTATATGCACTGCCAACAAACACACCTGTTCAAAATATAAAGTTAAGATTGCTGTTGTGGAAAACCAGTTAGTTAGATTGTTTCAAAGTTGAGGGAAATATATATATGTTTTCATCGTTACTATTGTTTTTTATTTATATTGCACCATCGGCGTACTTTGTGCTTCACAGAGAAATATAAGCAAAGGCTCTGCCCTAAGGATGTTAGAACCTACATTAGTTCACAATCTGAATGTCTTCTGAATCACACTATTGCAGTGTGGAGGCAAAAACAAGTCCGCTGTTGAGAAGCAGACTTGTGAAGCTGTGACATCTCTTTATCGCTCAAGAACCACCCTGCAGCAGGGCTCAAAGGAGGCAAGGAGTCTCTGATACACTTTAAAGGTGTAATGTACTTGTCAGGGGGCTTCAGAACCTGTTGAGCGTGTGAAAGAACAGGCTGGATGCTGTTCAGAGAGAGAGAGAAGTGCTGCTGCTCTTTCTTTCTAAGGGCTTGCAATTATATAAAGATCTACAGGACCCATGGTATATCTCTCTGCTGCGGAGACTGTGAGCCAGCAGTGTCATTAAAGATAGATGACAGCTGGCTCTGTCCTTTTCATAAGCTCCTCTTCTTTTCTTCAAATGTAGCTTGGAAACATCTCTCTATTCTCCAGTGTCTGGCAGTGATAGCAACCTGGATGAAGGCCAGATTATTCAGGTCCATTCCTGATAAAACAGGTTGATGCTGATTTGCTGAGGAAAGAACTTTGTGGAACTGGCAAGGCCATCAAGGAATGGAAAGATATTTGTTTGTCCTCTGTTAACATTTCAGGTCTTTGCTATCGCTACATTTATTTTGGAAATATAATTTATTTTTATTAAGCCAATCAAGAGATAAATTCATGAGACATGGTTGTAATTTTTTTGGGGGGGGGTTAATTCAAAGCTATGGGTTGATCCCTTTTTACCTATGCAAAGCAGCAGGCAATGAAAGATTCTGCATGCAGTAGCAAAAGAAGAGGTCTCAGATAGGACTGAAAGATAAAACTTTATTAACAGTAATTATAGTTTACAAAACAATAAAATGACAGCCCTTCCTCACACACAGCTATGGGCAATATCCAACTAAGTTCTTCTGCAAGTGCAAGGATTTGTGCTTTCAAAATAGAAGTCCCCTCTTCCTGCCCTTTTCACCCGCTAATCTGTTCAGGGGGTTCCCCTAACCCTCCAGACCATATTTTATCCTGTGAAATAATTTGGGGACGGGCACTGGATGCACAATGGCAGAGAAGGGGGAAAGTTCTATTGCACAAGCATAAGTCCTTGCACTGATGAAACAAGATAGACTCCACCCTCTGGCTTGGACCTTTTTTACCAAACAAAGCAGCATTGTTTTGCAAATTTGCATGTGGAACAGCATGCAATCTGGTTGCCTAGGTGTGGCCATTCAAGCTCTGCGCAGATGTAGTTAATGGTAAATAAAATCAGGGCACTGTATCCATATCAGAGGCATAGAGGAAGGGGTGTGTTAAGATACCGTTTGGTCTTATCATCAGTGATGGTGGCACAGTGTTATGTACTGAGTTGAATAGGATGCAAAATGCAGCAGTCTGATTGGTCCTAGAACAATGGGATTCAGAATGCAGCAGTCAGATTGGTCCTAGAACTATAAGATTCAGAATGCAGCAGTCAGATTGGTCCTAGAACAATAGGATCCAGAATGCAGCAGTCTGATTGGTCCGCAGGAGCCACCCAATCCAACTCCAGGTGGAAGTGAATCCGAAACCAGATTGGCCTACAGGTGAATCCCGGAATTAGCCAATCACGTGGGGCCCATTGTGTAAATAATGTATATAAAGCAGACATTTCAGGGGAACTCCCATTCCTCACTACTATGAGCTAAATAAAGAGCACTGAAATCCACACTCGACTCCGAGTATCTTTCACACAGGATCTGCACAATATGTGCCCATGATAGTTATACAGTTGAGTTTCACACAGCAGTATTGACAGCAGGGAAAGCTCTACTGTTATTTAAAGAGTAAAAACAAATTGCAGCTTGAGAGAGGAGTTCCCTCCCCAAGGGGTTCCGCAAATAAAAGGGTTGATGACGTAAGTTCCCTGCAATGAAAAAGTCAAGTCATTGTTTCTCCTCTAAAAGAAGATTCTTAAAAAATTATTATGCTAGACTGCCTCTATAATAGGGTCTCCAGTAGCATGTACTTCTGAATTTGTTGTCATTCTTAAAAGCTACAGTGATGGGCATGGTTTAACGGTTAAAATACCTTCCAAATGAACTTCACTGAATGGTCTTGTATACACATTTTATGGTGTTTTCTTAAAACCTAATTGAGGGTTTTCCTGGTCTTTTTAACTTCTCTGGTGTCTCTCATTTGAGAATATATTTCAACTAATCTACTTGTTTAGACATCCAGATTAATTCTAAACTAAATCTCTTTGTTATCTCAGGGTTCATAAGCGGTTGCTTCAAGGGAGTCCGATTCTGCTATTTAACAAATTGGCATGCTGCATGTGCAAGTGCGGATTCTTAGATCTAGTTGCTGAAGTGTGGGAGGCATTTGCAAGCAAAAATCAGCCACCAGGAGTGGAGTTAACCCTTTCTATGCCCACTCATTCACCCCAACAATACCCCCAGGCCACTTCCCACCTGCAGGCAGGCTTACATCCAGTTTCTGGGAAGGGGGAAATATCAAAAACAGTTGAAGCATTTGAGGCTGGTCCATGATTAAAGCAATGGAGGCAGCTCCAGCAGTCTCATTCTGCCCTTAGCCTGCCTGCCTTCTTATTTACAAGCAGTCCATGGGATGATACTGCCTGTCAGCTTCCTCCTTAGGTTCAGTGTTGCCTTTGTAGAACTCAACAGGGATGAGGAGGAAGACAAAATGGGAATTGGTTGGCTCTGGCCTCCCTTGCTATTAGTCTCCCTGCCTTCCCAATCCTACCAGTCCCAGTGGACATCAGGCACCACTAATTTGAGGAACGAGGCGGGGGTTTTTAGTGAGCAAGCCCCATTCAAATCCCTACTTACGGACCAGGAAAGTTTCATATTTTGGTTATTCTTTATCATTTTGCCATTGTGAATATTGCCCAGTTAATGTTAAAATTATCGACATCTGTGCCATCCACTTTTTTTTCTCACAGTGAATTATATTTGTTTCTTTTCAGATCACATTGACAACAATTGGCTATGGAGATAAAACCCCTCTCACCTGGCTAGGAAGGCTGCTTTCTGCAGGGTTTGCACTGCTTGGCATTTCTTTCTTTGCCTTGCCTGCTGTGAGTATCTTTACAACTGTTTGCAAAACTTCAAACTCTTTAAGCTGGCATACATGGGAAACAACACTGGGACAGTTATTTGTATGGCACTGCAACTTCTGCAATCTACAATGCGGAAAATTGAAGCTGCTTTAAAAGCTCATTTATTGTCCCGTGATAACTGTAAAATCTATCTGATAAGTCCCAGAATTTATTTTGGTAATATTGTACCCATATATCGTTCCATAAGCAGTAGGCAGCTTTTTATGTGAGGCATGTTAGTGAGGCTTATTGGGAATGGGACATTCAGCCCCCACGATCCATAAATGACAAGATTCAGTCCACCCTAGTTCCCCATGTATCCACATGGTTGACGTGGGCAGGATCTGAAGTGGCTAAAGAACCTGCTTCCTGCCATCAATACAGATATCCCCAGTGGAAAATATATCTGCCTCGTCCAAAAACACACATCATTGTGTGGTTATAGGATCTGCCGTGAAGATCTAGTAGTTAATATATCACTGTGATTTTCATGCAGATCCAGTCAGGGCTTCTTTTTTGGCAAATGTAATGAGATTATCCTTGTAATGTTTTTTGGATTGTCAAAAAGCATCCAGAAGAAATTTTACTCATCTTGCAGGAAGTTAGGGAACACACAGTTCTATCCTCTTGAGCTTCTTAGTATAATTATGAATATTCTCAACCTATTTCAGCTGAGATGCAAAAATAATAATAATGGTGATATAATTAACCAAATTGTTTCCATGCCTTGCAGGCATGCTGTGTTATATTAATAATAAAAGTAAAGCATTTACCTTAGAGTTTATAAGTCAGAAATATTATTTCTGATCCAGCTGCTAACTACTGGTCTTGAAGGAAGGAAACTGTATAATCTGTGCTGAAATTCTTGTGAACCTAGATAAGCTTGCCTGCCTGCTGACACTGACACCTAGCTGTGAGTTTTAGTAACATGTATTGGAATATTTTCCATGTTCCCTTTAAATGATCATTGTATACAGTACTTCTAAAAAGTTTGCTTCTATAAATAAATATCCCAAACACCCCTGGGGCCACAATACAAGTCTTTTATTCAGAAGTATAGGGTAATATCCACTGAGTAAGGTGATATAGCACAGTGGTTAAAAACAGGTCCCTGGTTTAACTATTAAATCACCCTATGCTCACTTAGGTTTAGGCAAGCCACTATTTTTCAGTCTCAACCTTTCAAATGGAATGTGAGAAAAAATATTACTACATTATGTGGCATAATTGTGATGCTTCCTTAAGACATATGTTTGGTGGAAGTAAACGAAAGTGCTGCTGAATTTGCAGGTTTCCTGTCTTCACACTTAAGTCCAGTTTAAAGGAATCCCAGTTGAGCTCTTTCAGTTATTTCACTGATATTTAGAGCTAAACCATACGTTGTGTTGAAGCTCCCAATATGGTTTTCACTTGTAAAAACAGTCACAGCATTCCATGCATTTGTTTTGGGGCTGCAGCATGGGGCAGAGGTTGTCTCCTCCTTTCCTCCTGCACTATGACCCCAGCACAGATTGCCCACTCAAGCTGCTATTAAGTGCACAGGGGGTAGACTACATGTTTACTCAGCTATTTCACATTTTTAAACTAACTCCTGGTTTTCTACAAAGGGGCACTGGAGCTGAGTGATTTGCAGGTAAGAGCTCACAGATGAGAGGAGGGTGCTTAACCCTTCCCCCTGTCATTTGCACCTTGCAATTTCCATTTGCCATTACCTCTTCTACATTGTTCCATACACATGTTGGAAAATGTCTGGAATACGTGTGGGGGTGTCTACATATTGGGGTGGGGGATGTAGGAGAAAAGGAGTAGGCAAAAAAAAGGTTAATCACTCTCCTCTCACCTGTCATTTTTTCCTGGCAAATCACCCCTTCTTTACAATGGAAAACTTGTGAAAACACAAGTTGGCAACATAGCATGCACTTCTGGGCATAGAGCCAAACTGAACAGTGAGGTGTAAATGGTAAACATGGTGATGGTAGAGTCTTTCTGAATTGCTTTAAAACTGGACTGGGACAATTCAAAACATAGGCTGCAGATAGGAGAGGGTTAGTGAACACCTCTTCTGCCTGCACTTTCCCCAAAAAACTGCCTGTCCTCATTTTGCTCCTGGCTGGGCACCAAGACTTTTGACTGAAGTCCCTTTTGAGATAGAAAAACCTGAAGAAACGTTGTTCAGGGGAAATGTATGAGCAAGGGAAAGCTTCAACAGCTTTCCTTCCACCAACTACTACTGTGCTTTAAATTGCTCTGCTCCCTATATTGTAGAGAATGGGCACAACCATGTATTGTCTGGCCACTAAACACACTTGATTTGCTCCAGATTGTGTCAAATGTGTTATTTCAAGTATCCAAAGAGTGGAGGAGCTATGCTTACTATGGCAGGTGCTACTTGTATGTGTAACACTTCTAGATGATTTTAAAGATTGTATGCTCTTAACCCCTTACCAAAACGACTATCCTGACCATGAATATTTGTCATACTGTACTGCACTCCAGGGCATTCTTGGGTCAGGATTTGCATTAAAAGTACAGGAACAGCATCGTCAGAAACATTTTGAAAAAAGAAGGAATCCCGCTGCCAGTTTAATTCAAGTAAGTGCCAAATGAATCAGATTTTTTGAAAAGTTTTCGTTCAGGGATATTACAATCAATATCATGCAAAGTTGTAAAAGAAATGCAAACATTATCCAGATTATTTGCCATGGTGCAGCATGTTGCAGTAAATATCGTCCTCCCATCTAGCTAGGGACCATGCACATATGGAACTGGACTTATGCACACACAATCCAAACTGGATGGGAAATCATGCACAAAAACTGTGGTTCATCAAGTTGCTGGGATGCTTCACATGTACTTTTAAAAACCTGAAATCAAGCCAATCTGCTGCTCAGGGGTAGGGGCTAGATTTTGTTCCTCATGCGCCTACCTCCCTACTAAATGGCTGATTGGCACTATTTCAGATTTTTTAAAAAGAGGGCTACATGCACACAACTAGTATGTTCTCTGTTAAACTGAATTCTTGGCTACAATTCACCACTTACTGCTGAATTCATAACAACAATTCCTGTTGATGTCAATAGATGCTGTTTGTGCTTGACATGTCTCATGTTCAGTGCTTGGATAACACACTGTATGTAGTGTTTTCAAGAAGTAATCACTCCTGAAGACCTAGAAAGATACAAACTGTGTGATATTTTGCATGACACAGTTTACAATATAGTTTTCTATAAAAACCCAGAACTGATAAATAAATGTCAGATTAAATTATGGCACAGCACCATCGCCCACATTCAATTAATTATTAGTAGTGGGTCTCTGACACTGTGCCAGGGGGTAAATACATTCAGTTTGAAGGAAGAGACCTCTGTCCAAACAATTCACTACAACAGTTTGAATGATTGATCACAATAGCTGTTGGCCTAAATTTATGGGCACCTTCCCAGTGGTGGCATTGATGTGTAGAAAGAATCAAACAAAGTAAATCGAAATGTTAGCATATTTGATGTTTTAAACAGCTGCTTCATTTAATTACATTTCTTTTTAGTGCAATAGATTTCGCTTCTTTGCTGTTTTGAATACTGCACGTTGTGTTGCTTGGCTTTTTTCACACCCAGTTAAATCGAGGTTTATATCCAAAGTGATTGTCTAGTATGCTGCCTGAGCTATTATTTAAGAGCCCAGAATCAATTCTCCATTCTTTGTGTGTGTGCGTGCACACACACATTATTCCTTTGAAAACCAAATTTAATCTCCTCTGAAAGACTTTGGCAGAACTGATTCCTGAATTATGCTGGATCATGCCCACAGAGTACAACTGCCAAATGTCTCGGTCAGTCATTTCCTCAGCCTGTCATTTATGCTTGCCTTGGAAGTTGAGGTCTGAGCAATCACAGAGCATTCCCACTCCCAAAACAGAATGATAGCTGGGAGGAAAGGGAACCTATCAAAACTGTTATGCTGACATGACCACTGGACAAGTTCCAAGCTGTGCACAGTTCCTGGCAAGCATGGGAGCCTGCTTTATACATGGTTTGTAACAACATGGGAGGGATGCATATATCTGTCAAAACCTCAACAGGGTTAATTTAAAAATGTATGTGTGTGTTTTCATATTGGAAGGAGGGAAGAGATAGGAATTCACTTTCTATATTTGCTGAATTGCAGCTATATACTGTTATGACCCAGCAACTGTCAATTAAGAGCCTGAATGAATATGGACTTTACAAACTGCAGATTCATCCCCACACTTGAGAATGGCGGCCCAAGCAGTGACGGTGAGCCGCCATCTCACTTTATGCCAGGGCTAACTAGTAGTGTCAATTTAGCCCAGGATTCACACCTGATGAACTCAAGACAGAGTAGTTACAGACAGCCTCCTCTGCCTGAAGTCTCTACTACCCAAGGACCAGTGCAGAAATACCACAAAGGGCTTTTAATGGTATCAGACACGGCCTAAAGATTAGAAGACACCCCCACCCCCATCCCACATACAGAAACTTACCAGACTGGCAGCTGAATCTTAAACCAACACTGTTGACAGGACAGTGTCTAACTCCACCACGCCTGAGGGGAACAGGCAACGTAGGGAGAGCAGGGCATATAGAGTTCTGCCCTTCAACACTTCACCATCATACTACTCTTGCCTGGGAACTTGGTGCTACCCAGTCAAACAAATGCTGCAATGCAGTAGCACTATCTTGCATCCCATGAGCAGAGCAACACATGGCATATATGTGATGCCGGCTGGAGTGCGTAGCCTGGGCTGCCGGCTCATACATTAGGAGAGGGCAACTAAATGAAAGAGCCAGGCCAACCAAAAAGCAAGGATTGTTCTGCCAATGCACCAGGTCCTAAGGATAGGAGCAGCAGAGGGGTGAAGAGGGACTGCCAGACACAGCCTCATTCTGCCTCATGGTACTGGAAGACCTGGCCATATTGATTGGGGCTCAACTTTGTCTTAGAATTGCACAAGACATCCAGTGATGAAGGCCATTATTGATTTGTACTAAAATGAAAAGTAGTAAGAATGTGAAATTTGAAAAATTGGGACTAGAAACCACTATCCTAGAAATATAGCCTGTTCATACGATTTATTATTAGCTTTATGATATGCTTAGTAGTGTACAGACATAGTGTCATGGTTGAAAGTGTGAGCAGGAAGCTTCCTAGTTCAAAATCTTACCTCAGCCATGAATTTACAACATGGCCTCAGTACTATTGAGAATAATGTATGCAAAATACCATATAAAGTTTATCATCACACTAAAAGCTGTGTTCTCCAATATAATTGTATTTGATATTAATCTTATTTATTGTAATATTTTCAAATGCTGATTACCAGGATAAACAACTAACAGTTGTTGCTAAATACTTCCATGTTTATGAGAATGCAACTTGATATTGACTATAATGCACTGTTAAAATCATTTGAGATAAATGTCAAATGCGCGCGCGCACACACAGTACAGCAAAACAGTTTCTTAAAGTTGTGGTAGATAAGTCCTTCTATTTTATTGAGCAGCCCAAGCTACTGTAGGATTGGATACAGAACTCTGCTTGGCAGCCACTAGCACGACCTTCCAAAAGTTTGGGAGACCCTCTGTAACATCATGGGAGGTGGGCTGGAGGCTGCAAGGGAATGGAGGGAAATCAAGTGAAAACTGCCCCCACCCCTTCCCCTCCTTCATCAGGAAACCTTTGCTGGATTCCAGTTTCTCCACAAATGAAAGGAGCCCTTCCATTGAAATTGTGACTTTCTTGTGTACAGTTTTCTTGTGAATTTTAATACTTAACCAAATCTTCATTGCACTCTGCAAGCCTAACCATACTGAACTAATTATTTAAGCCAAAGTAACAGGTATTGGTTCCAGCTTGAACAAAATGCAGATTTTCCATAGCGATAACGATGCTTTCATTTCATATATTGTTGGCTCCTTTGTGCTTTCTATTGTTTCCTTTTCACAAGGCTGCTTGGCGGTTTTATGCTACTGATTGCAGACGAACAAACCTGACAGCCACTTGGCGATATTATGAAAGTATTCTTCCATCCCTTAGGCATGTATCAGTGCTACAAATGACACCAAAAAGTCATGACTTGTATTGGTATACTAATATGCTTTTCTTTTCTTTTTTGTTTCATCCCCTGCTCCCTCTTGCCTTTCTTTCCCTTTATCATATATCCTGCATGTAGTGTGTATGGCGTAGTTATGCGGCTGATGAGAAATCCGTTTCCATTGCTACCTGGAAGCCTCATTTGAAGGCCTTGCATACCTGCAGCCCAACAAAGTAGGTAAAAATGTGGCAGTTGGTGCTGTGCTTGATGTCTGTTTTGAGCTTATAAAAATCAGTGTGTGGTTTTGTCTTGTTGTCCCCCCCTCCCCTTAATACCATTCATTAAGGAACTTAGGCAGCAAACTGGGACAATTACACATCCTCCAAACATAATGACAAATCGGATTCCCATTTTCTTTTGTTTCTGAGCCATTATTACAACAAAGCAATAGAAGATTTTTTCCGCCACCAAGTCCTCCAAACCCTGCTGGAAGTTAATCTTCTAATAGCATCTAGGCAAAATATTACCTGCGTTGGACTCAGTTAATGCTAATTCATCCTACTTCACATGGTTGGTGATATATTATTCCAATCTCTAGGGCACCACACTGGCTATCCCTGCATTATTTATTGTCGATTTCTAGCAGCTTAGACCTGCTGACTTCCATTGGTTTCTCTCAATCTAATTGTGCTTAGAGTTAGAAGAAAAAGCAGGCGTAAAAACAGCATGTAGGTCAAAGGGCTACACTAATTTATACCAGCAGAGGTTTTGTCTTGTTACTATTCAGATTAGGAAAAGACTGAATGAAACCCAACCAACTGGTTAATTCACCACAAACAATTTGCTGCTTCTTTCAGTTTGCAGTACTGTGCTTTTTGCATAAAGCTGCTGTGTTTTTCTTTTTCTTTGTAATAAACAGAAGCTTAAAAGTCACCATGTTATCCTTACTGTCAATTACATTCCACATGTTTCCTCTTCCTGTGAGAAACCTGTGTAGGAGGGTGTTAGTAATAAAACTGATACGGCTGTTCTTCATTCCCATTAGATGGGTCATACTGATATGAATCCTGGGAAACATCTATTTTCAGTGGGAGAGAAATGCGTAGCTTTCTACTTCTATGTGTAATGGAAATGCAGATAACAATATCATTTCGTCATATATGTTCCTTGTTAGATAATCATAGTTAACAAAGAAACAGCCCCTATTCATTTGAGGGCAGAATTTGGTTGGGAGAAACATGCCTATTGAAGCAGAAATTCTATATTAAAAGATTAATCAAAATAATGCTTTTTAATTACAAACACACAGACAACAATATAAATTGGGCATCCTTCTAGGAATTATGACAACAAAATAATGATTGTATTATCTACCTTAGAAAGTCTTTTCCAGAATAAAGTTGTAGAAGTTTAGGATGGATTCTAGCATGTTTTCATATGAAACAGCAATTCTTGTTATTTCTTTTGCTTTAAAAACTGTCACCTAACCACTTTGAGCTGTAAGAATAAGTGAAGATGGAAAACAAATAGATTCTGAACAAGAATCCTATACACTCCTAAACTCCTTACTCTCTCCTCTAGAGCTGAGACTTTGGTGTGGGTGGCGCTGTGGGTTAAACCACAGAGCCTAGGGCTTGCCGATCAGGAGGTCGGCGGTTCGAATCCCTGCGACGGAGTGAGCTCCCGTTGCTCAGTCCCTGCTCCTGCCAACCTAGCAGTTCGAAAGCACATCTAAGTGCAAGTAGATAAATAGGTACCGCTTCGGCGGGAAGGTAAACGGCGTTTCTGTGCGCTGCTCTGGTTCGCCAGAAGCGGCTTAGTCATGCTGGCCACATGACCCGGAAGCTGTACGCCGGCTCCCTCGGCCAATAAAGCGAGATGAGCGCCGCAACCCCAGAGTCGGTCACAACTGGACCTAATGGTCAGGGGTCCCTTTACCTTTACCTGTCTTATAGAAGGGAACTGAAAGTAGTGTGGAGTTCTCAAGACCCATTTGTTGTGGCTAAACTATAATTGTTACTGCTATTTTGCCTAACAACAATAAAATATGGGGCAGACATACAACTGTTTAAAAAGACAAAGGGTGGCAGAGAGAGATTATGTTTCAGTCTAGTTTGTCTTCTCTTCCATTTTCCCCACTTGGATGGGCACAGAAAGCTGATTTGTAAATTTCATCTAATTGGAAGGACAAAGCTCATGATTGCTCCACTGGAACTCCTAAAAGCTTCAAAATAAAAATATTTTGTTCTCAGAGGCCAGAAATGTTGGTTTTAATTGTGTTTTGGACAATCACTGTTTAGACTTAAGAGTTATCTAAGTTATGTAAACAGTTAAGTCATGTTGTTGTTGTTGTTTAGTCGTTTAGTCGTGTCCGACTCTTCGTGACCCCATGGACCAGAGCACGCCAGGCACTCCTGTCTTCCACCGCCTCCCGCAGTTTGGTCAGGCTCATGTTTGTAGCTTCGAGAACACTATCCAACCATCTCATCCTCTGTCGTCCCCTTCTCCTTGTGCCCTCCATCTTTCCCAACATCAGGGTCTTTTCCAGGGAGTCTTCTCTTCTCATGAGGTGGCCAAAGTATTGGAGCCTCAACTTCACGATCTGTCCTTCCAGTGAGCACTCAGGTCTGATTTCCTTAAGAATGGATGCGTTTGATCTTCTTGCAGTCCATGGGACTCTCAAGAGTCTCCTCCAGCACCATAATTCAAAAGCATCAATTCTTCGGCGATCAGCCTTCTTTATGGCCCAGCTCTCACTTCCATACATCACTACTGGGAAAACCATGGCTTTAACTATACGGACCTTTGTTGGTAAGGTGATGTCTCTACTTTTTAAGATGTTGTCTAGATTTGCCATCGCCTTTCTCCCAAGGAGCAGGCGTCTTTTAATTTCGTGACTGCTGTCACCATCTGCAGTGATCATGGAGCCCAAGAAAATAAAATCTCTCACTGCCTCCATTTCTTCCCCTTCTATTTGCCAGGAGGTGATGGGACCAGTGGCCATGATCTTCGTTTTTTTGATGTTGAGCTTCAGACCATATTTTGCGCTCTCCTCTTTCACCCTCATTAAAAGGTTCTTTAATTCCTCCTCACTTTCTGCCATCAAGGTTGTGTCATCTGCATATCTGAGGTTGTTGATATTTCTTCCGGCGATCTTAATTCCGGCTTGGGATTCATCCAGCCCAGCCTTTCGCATGATGAATTCTGCATATAAGTTAAATAAGCAGGGGGACAATATACAGCCTTGTCGTACTCCTTTCCCAATTTTGAACCAATCAGTTGTTCCATATCCAGTTCTAACTGTAGCTTCTTGTCCCACATAGAGTTAAGTCATAGTCTGACTAAATATATTACAGTACACTTCTGGCCAAGGAAAAATATTATCTGACATCAGTCCTCTGTGTGAAATCTCAGGTCCCAATTACTAAGTCAAATGTGCTCCATTAAAAGATATCTGCATCTAATAATAAGCCTACAGCTTTCTGTTATCTGTATATCAGCACCTGCATTTTGCCTAAATAAGTGCTTTGCCAACTCATTCAATAATGGTATGTATTAAGCGCATTTAGCATGCCTTGAGGTGCTGTTCAAATATTTTTTCTGATGTCACGGTAGTTATATTAGTACCTGCTTGAATGTTTTGTGTTTGCTTTATAAAATGTTATTATTAAATGTATTAATTTGATTAACGCAGCCAGCCGTGATATAGTGTTTATCTAATAATGTTTGTAACCACATCATAATCGGTACTGCCAGCATAACAAATTTTTTTCTTCCCCAAACTTTCTCTCTTCCGTTCTTTGACACCTGAAGGAAAGAACAAGGGGAAGCATCTAGCAGGTTTGTGGTGTTTCTATGCATATAGTTTTAAAAATGAAAAACGTTGTTTGAGAATGGGTGCAGATCTCTGTGAATGCAGGCTCCAAATATATTGGCACAGTATTGACTAAAAAAGCTCATGCTCAGATCCAGTAATGGGAAGGATTTAAGTACAGAATTCTAATTTTTCTAGACAAAATAATATTGTGAGAACAGAATACTGCTCAGTATCATCCACAGATGCCTAGCAACATTTGCATGTTTAATAATGGATTCTGCAGGAGTATGAACCTAGCACTATACTTCAATGGATAACAGAATGATTGATCAAGACTTGAAAGACATTTGTCTCTTACTATCCAGGATAATGAATTAGGGCTAGATGAATCATCCCTTGTGACACATGAAAACACCTCTTAGAAACGTCAGTAATTAAGTGGTTTATAAATAACTGAAATACCTAAACAAACAAGCAAACAGTCTGAAGAAGGAGGGTGATGTCTTGAATATGATGGTTTTCCCCAGTACAACTTTTTAAATTGACACGTCTGTATATAAATTCAAAACTAATTTAATTACTTAATAATTTAAATCACCAACTGACATAACTTTTAACTAAATAGTGTGGTTGTGATCGATTGAAAATACTACATATATGACTAAAACCTGAATGGTGGATGAATATTTTCACACACTTTGAGTTATCTCATTGTCATAACCCCCAGATCCATACCTTATGCATATTCACTCCTATTGCTGTCTAAACTCACAGAAGCAAACATCATTTGACAGTCCTAACAACCACACAATCTGACTGCCTAGAGAGAGTGGGACCATGCTGGGTAGGCTGCTGTCATTTCAGATTTCCCTGCAGGTGAACATTATTATATTATAAGACAATACTCATCTGGTTTTGAGGATGAAAAGGGAATTTTGAAGGATCCCATTATATGAAGCAGGATAAACACTGCCAGGCATTTATGCACTGGCAGGATTTCTGATGTAAGTAGGGTCCACATAATAAAAATCGAAGGCCAAGGTCCATCTAGTCCAGTATCCTATTTTCAACAGTAACTGGACAAGTATCTCTGGAAGATCACAATCACAGCATGAAGGTATTCCTTTTGCTCCTTACATGTGGTAATCAAAAGTATGTTGCCTCTGAACATGGTTCCATTTAACTATCATGCTTAATAGCCAGAGATGTACCTATTTTTATACATAAATGTGTATGATTTTTTTTAAAGCATGTAAGGCAATTCATAAAGCACAATGGAATCTCTTTCACTGTGATTCAATTCCACACTGGTCTAGTAACGTTTGTATGTCAGAAATACATAAGCAAGGTGAATGGCCCTTCTCACATGGACCTCATCCACCTTGAGATCCCCAAGGTCTCTATCCCAAGACATAAGAGACAAGTTAGAACCTCTTTGTTTTACTTTTGGACTTGCACTTTCCCTCTTTTTTCAACATGGCCAATGATTGGGATAATGGGAATTGTAGTCACAACAACATCTTGAGGGCCATAGGGTCTGCACCCCTCCTCTATTTCTTAAAGCAATTTTAGTCATCTACGGCTCTTAATGTACTAGTAAGGTATACTGCAAATACAAGATCAAAGTTGCCTTGGATACATTACTCCAAATGTGAAATGCATTACTTAAAAAGGAGGCTATGGACCATCAAAGGGAAACTGCATATGCAGTCAGAGCTATCCCACTGCTGATTAGAGAAAGGAAATGTTCTCCTTTTCTGTAGGGGTTGGTTGTTCCATCACCAGCAACAGGAATCCTGTTATACTCTGGATCCCAGTCAGAAATTTCAAGATTGGGTGAGAGCCACTTCTCCTAACAGCTGCCAGAACCAATTTCATATTGTTCTCTTTCACGTGTCCTCCTAGTGGTGCAGCAATAAAACTGCTAGCACATTTGCAAAGTTTAGCAGGGTTTAGCATGGTTTCAAGTTGGATAGGGGAACACTTGTTGAGATTCCTGCATTGCAAGCAGATGGATTTAGTTGATCCTTGGGGTCACTTCCAAATGTACAATTCCATGATTCTATGTATATAATTAGCCTGACTGCTAATGCACATTTAATCCATTGTCTAGAAGTAAGTAAAACTGATATATAAACAAAACTTGGTCAGCACTGTTGCCACACTCAAGTTACTACCATAACTATTAAAAACTAAAACAGTGTTTTAAGATATTCCAAAAGGCCTGTGGAATTTACTCACAAACCTCCCACTAACTTTCATGGAGTTAATATTTAAGATATTTCAAGATCTTGAAGGATCTTTGCCAGGCTTCCTCAACCTCGTCCCACCAGACTTTTTTTGGCCTACAACTCCCATGATCCCTAGCTAGCAGGACCAGTGGTCAGGGATGATGGGAATTGTAGTCTGAAAAACACCTGGAAGGCTGGGGTTGAGGAAGCCTGATCTTTGCTATGACTAGACCCAGCTCAACAAATCATATAAACTTAATTTTCTTCATTAACATTCATATAAACACATACACTTGAAAAATAAGAAATACAAGACTATTGTAGAGATAAGAGACATTCATAAGAAAATAAGGTTTAATAAAAGGCATCACTGTTCTTAGTTTGTATTAGCTATCATACTTTGGGGACTGCAGTCCCTCAAGGGTAAGGAACTGCATACCACAAGCCATGGGTAAGGCCAGAGTTGGTTAAGTGAGGCTCCCACCCTTTCCTTTCCTGTCACCCATTTTACCCCCATTTCCTCCCTTCTTGACACAGAGGTGGCCCACGTCTGCTTTAAGACCAATCATATATCTACTGTAAATATGACTTCAGCATTTTAAAAACAACACACTCTTCAGTTGGCATCCTAGGCTGAGTATTATTTATTTTCTGTATTGCATATTTCAATATACAATATACAATTTCTCATTTAACTGACAACATACCCAGGTTAAAGGCTGAGGAATTGTTGGTCACCCAAAGCCACAAAGTAAGCATAATGGGACTTAAGCTCCCAAGCCAGTGATCCACAGAGGGTGGGGGCTAGCTATGCCTTCTTGTGGTTAATCAGTAGCCCATAGTTCCTAGTAGTTCTTAAAGTGTGGCCTACACATATCAGCCTACATCACTTATAATCTGATACTTTGCATTAACTGATAGTATAATTGCAACATACTGTGGTGCATTTTCAGCTACTGAAAGTTAAATTCCCAGTTCAAATATTCTTCATGGCAGCTGCTCTGTTTAGCAACTCTCATATGGGTTGAGCAGCTGCTGAATATTCCTGATTTAGAGTGTAGAAGCAAATCATGTAGTGGGGATATTCTTATGGTAAGCAGAAGTGACTTGCTCTGTAGTACTTAATGGTGCCAGTGTCACTTGAGTAGCCATGTCTTGAGATGCTGTTCTCAGCCAGTGTGCAGGAATATCTATGCCCAAGGACAAGGTACCATTTTTAACCGAAGGGCCATGTTTGCTCATGGACAACCTTCTGCCAGTGGTGTTTGGGACAAGAAAAAAGTAAGTGGAGTAATGTATGTGTCTCTTCTTACCTTTGTAGGATACATTCCAGCCACACAAAATTCAGAGGCATTACCTCAGTTCAAGGACACATTCCAGGCAGGCAAAAACACTCAAAGGGAGACATGAAGCAGGGCAGATGAGGTGTGGCTTGGGGAGAGCAGGTATGGTCTAGCAATGGGATGTGCCCTGAGAAGAGTCCTGAGAGCCAGACAGGGGAACCTGCAGGGCCACATTCAGCTTCTATGCCTCTGGTTCCTTACCTATGATGTACAGAGTTTAGTCTTTTAATAAACAAATCAGCATTAATATTCACAGGCAAAATAATAATAATAATAATAATAATAATAATAATAATAATAATAATAATAATAAAAAATAAGTAACAAGGCAGTAATGTTGATATTATGAGCTGTATCCAATGGATTCCCGTGCAGCCCCCCTAAATCTGCTTTAGGGAATTGAGGGCCTCTCCAGAGCAGATTTGGGAGTGGTGCAGCGGGGAGGGGAAACAGCTGAAAATGGCTTCCTTCCTGTTCTGCTGACAAAAGCTTTATCATCAAGCAACACCAATGAATAACGGATGTGTTTTAAATTCTATTTTTAAATAAACAATATTTTAGATTTTCTCTGTTTTGCTAGGTGTTGCATATTTATGACTGTGACTATCAAATAGGTTTCCCTTTTAATGGAAAAACTGCACAAACTGAAGTCAGTTGCACTTCAGTTTACTTTTTTTGGAAATTGAGGTGAAGGACAATATATTTTGTACTGACCATGAGTAAACCACAATTTCTACACATTCCAGTTAAAATTTGTTGTTCACAAGAAGCTTTGCTTAAAAGATAGCTTGACATATAACCTACATAAGATTGCTGAAAGCTTAAATAGGTTATCAATTACTGAGGGCTGTCAACAGAGAAATGAATTTTACTCCATTAGGAAGATGGGCTTTTACTATTCTGTTATATTGTAGTAATATATTCTGATCCTGAACCTGTCTTTGGATATACATTGCAGGAGTTTTGTCTTAGATGAATGTTCAGGACTTTTGACTGTCATTTCTGGATACATTTCGTTGTAATCACAATTCTGACTTCTGTTTGACACAGCAATCTTACATTTTACAATTGGCTTATAAATTTTAAGAAACAAAAACGGTAGCGGTCTGACTTGCCTTACACGGAAAACCTAACCCCTTTCCTCACATGGAATGCTTAGTAATATGATCCTCTATTTCCCCTCACTCCTAGTAAGCTTTATAGTAATAAACAGAAGCTCTTCAGGATGTACACCTCTCGGAAACATAGGTATCCAGCATCCTGTCTATTCACATGATATTTGGGAATGCCAACTAACATCAGGTGCATGAAGAGTTTATTTCCCCTTCTTAATGCTTTACAGTTTTTACTCTTCAAAGGGTTCTTCATTATTTGGCTGGGTCGCCCACTACAATTGCTTGTAATTTTCCTTGTTGCTTGCTGCCTGCAATTATATACCAAAATAGCCAC